TACATACCTGGTGCACGGATCGAACTAAGGAATCAAGAGCTTTTGTCTCTGATCTCTAGAGCTTCCATTTTCTACTAAGGAAGAGAAATGCATAGGTAGATAATTATAAAGCTATGCCATAAACTTTCAAGGGAGGTGGAAACACTGTTAAATGATAAACAGAAGTCAAATTCTAAAAATAGGGGCTGGGGAGCTAACCTATATACTACTTTATTCTGAATCTCTGAGTGATGGCCTATAATGGGGAGCTTCGCAGGGACAAAGGTACAAAAATACTGCATTTTCTCTCTTGGCCACCTTGTTTTTGCATTGTTCCATGAATTTCAGAATGGAGAGTAAGTTTTCTGGCCTAGGAGATGTCATGTTTTTTTGACTCTTCCTTCTTTTTCCTTGGTAAGAAGTGATTTAGTCAGGGAGATATCTTTATGAAGATGGATGCTGAAATACAAAACTATATTAAGGGATATAAATAAGGCATCTAGTGATTCCCTTGTAAATGAATACAAATTTATACAGTCATATCTTACTTATTTGTTTAGTCTAGGTGACCAAGTATGTTTCTTAATATATGTTTGGCTGGGACTTCCAGCTGGCTTTCTGCAAAAGCCCCCCATTTTTTTTCTCTCTCCAAACTCTTTCCTCAGAGAATTTCCAACAACAACAAAAAAAGCCACTAAAAGTTCAGTTCCATGGAGGCAGTGGCTCCACCAACCCACAAAGCTGCCAGCTGCTCAAGACCTTGCCTAGAGTGTTATGATTGGGCACTGTGGAGACACATCATCATCCCTGCGCCTACAGGGTATTTAATCCTTCTCCTTTAGATCAGCAGTGTGATTTTTCTCCTACTCCCCTCTCCCCACCCCCTCAATCTTTGGGGGCTGGAGAGTCACCTAGGAGTGCTTTGCCTAAATAAACTTGCTTTTTTACTTTTTAATTCAGCTTGATCTGACTTACTACGTCTGTGGGGAAACCTATTATAGGTACAGAAAAACCTATCGATATCTTCATTTGTGATATAGTAATCTTGCTGAAGATGGGTATTGACTAGTGCAAGAAAACTTTTGATCAGATCAACTGCTATGCTGAATTTTTTAAATGTGGTGTGTGAGTGTGTGTGTGTGTGTGTGTGTGTGTGTGTGTGTGTGTGTGCATGTGTGCCCACGAGCCTAGGCATGCATGATTGTTCATGCATTTGGGTGCTTATATGTGTGGAGGCCAGAGGACAACTTCAGGAATGCCAGAAATTCAGGAATGCCATCTGCCTTCCTTGAGACAGGGTCTCTCATTGGCCTGGAGCTCATCTATTAGGATAGACTAGCAGGCCAGGGAGCCCCAGTCCTCCTGTCTCTGTCTTCCCAGCACTGAGACTGCACTGCAAGCATGTGTCACCAGTCTGTGTTTTTCATGTGGGTTTTGGAGACTGAATTTAGGTCCCTGTGTTTGCAAGGCAAGCACTTTATTAACTGAGCCATCTTTAAAGTCTCCCAAGTTCTTTTCTAAGTTGTGTTAAAAAAAGATCCTATTTGAAACATGTCTCCTAAAATACTACTGTCTGGATAGGGTATCCTCAGCCTGTCATACTGAGAGCAGAAACATACTTATTTACTGCTGTATCTACAGAATCAGAACAGAGATTTCTGGGTAAATGGCAGCTTGTTCAGAAAATATTTGCTGAATGAATGAATGAAAGTGTCATAGTAACCGCTGGTGATGTTTGAGGAATTCATGGACAGTCACGTTAGAAATGCCTATTATGTTCAGTAATTTTTCAAACATAAATCAGGAATATGATTTTGATTTCTAGTAAAGCTCTTCTCACAAAGAAGTTAATAATGAACTTTCTTATTAAAATAAAGAACATTTGACAGGAATACCCCATATGAAAACAGTTTACTGATGTTTTTCCCAGCAGGCTTTCTGTCATTTATCTCCCTCTACTTTCCATTTACCAATAAAGAAGTCACAGTATGATTTGTCTATGGCTAGCCACCAGACCAACCTCTACTAACTGCAGGGGAATTTAAGGAATTCACTCTTTCGCATTTTCCAATCAGTGTTTTCTGAAGTTGCACAACAGAGATATATAAATAAAGGCAATCAACAGCTTACCCCACACTCTCCATAGAAAGGGAATCCAGTCCAGTTTGCCTGGCTCTCAGAGCTCATGAGAGCATTCTCTAAAACAGAAATGAGGCAGGAGTGCAGGGCTGAACTCTGGCCTCAGGGGGGCATCGGAGAGGCTTTCATTTCTTTCCATGCTGCCCAGTATAAGGCAGAAACTACTGATGCAAGCCTGCAGGCACCGGACCTCATTTTTCAAGTTCAAAAATCTAGAACTAGTGTTAAATGAATAACAGAAGTGAAAAGGGAAGCTGAGCCCAGCTGGTCAGTTTGTAGAACTTGTCACTTTGGAAGAAAGTCACCTTACCCTTGAAGTACAAAACTGGACCGACCACCTTGGAAGACAAGAAGTGGGTCAGCAGACAGTACAGATCCGTCCATTTTGGGATTATCCGGACAAAACAACAACAGCAAAAGGGTCAGATATGTTTTTCTTTGATCAAACAACAATTGGTAAATTTAGCAGAGCAGTCATTTAGCATTAACCCCAGGCAAGCATCGAAAATTCACATTCTCTAGATTGATTGAAAAGAAGACACTAATATTTAAGCAGCATTCCCCTCCCCCATCTCTGTTGGGGATACAAGTTTGATTATAACAGCAGGTTAATTGTTGATAAGGTTAATGTTTGTGAGTTAGCAATAAAGAAATAAGCAAACAATCTGATTCTTGCCTTGTAACACTTCACCTGGATGAAACAACACTGCAATCTGCAGTCGATTATAAAGACGAAAAGCAGTCTTTTCTGAGGTATGAATTCTGTGTGTTGGGGCTAGAACCTGGGGCCTCACAAATGGTAAGCAAGTGCTCAACCACTGAACTATAACCTCAGCCCTTGTGATCAATTTTTGTACTGATTATCAGTATTATGAGATTCAGGTCATACAGAAATATTACTTTTTAAATACTTAGCAGTTCAGAACTTCTACATAGGCATTCCTTCTCTCTTCTGAGTGGCGGATGAAAAGCAAAAGTTAGAAATTAACAGCCAATAAACTGCCTTAAGTAAAACACAGGAGTTGATCAGAGCAGAATCGTGAACTGAAACTTTAAAAATGATTTACTTAAAAAAGGAATTAAAAAATGCTTGGGAAGGCTGTAGAATACAGTATATACCAGGTGACTATAAATCTAAGGAGGGCTGGCAATGAAAACAGTAACGATGTAGAACAGAGCTTTGAGGCAAAAGCCAGGATTTCTTGTCTGGCTAGAAAGATGATATCAAATAATGTTTCTGTGGGGGGATAAAAAGGGACTAGGAAAGGGATATGATACCAGGGATGCATGAATCATATGATCTGTGAAGGCAGGCTGGTAACCACAGCATTGCTGGGACAATGGGAGTTGAAAGCCTTTTTTCTGAGACCCACACACGTCACTGGGGGATTTCAACTGCATCAGCATGGCAGCAATACTGACCGCCACAGCCCGTGGAAGAGGAGATCAAGTTTTATAGTGCTCGGGAGAGTTTTTAAAAGACTGATTCAGAAACAGGAAATTATAAACACTTGCTTCAGGACAGCAGTGGGGCTCCTGGCTCCCAACCAGCATCCTCACAGGAATGCCTTGCTACCCAAATGAGGAGGAAAAGATGGGGAAAAAAATCATGTGCAGAGGCCTGTAGTGTAGTTTAGGGATTGGGTGCTTGTCTAGCATACTCAATTATCTGGGTTCAATCCCTAGCACACAATCAATCAGTCAATCAATATATTGTATATCTATCTATCTATCTATCTATCTATCTATCTATCTATCTATCTATCTATCTATCTAATCTGTCTGTCTTCTTTCTACCAATCAATCAATACATATTCACTGTGATTCATTTGGCCAGTAGGGAAAGTGATGATACAAGAAGTAACACATTCCATTTAGCTCATAGCCTGGGCTCTGTAGTCGAGCTGACTATATTTATTCCTGGTTCTGCTCTCTAATACATCATTTAGCTTGTCTTGGCTCTACCTCAGCTACATCACCTATAAAACCAAAATGATAAGAGTAACTTGGCTACAAAGTTGTTACCAACACTTGGTGAACTAGCAGCAGAAGTGGCCCAGGGCACACCCCCCCCAAAGTAGCCACTGCTTCATGTACCTCTGTCCTTTTAAATCAAATTCATGACTTACTAAATGCTATTTAGTGTGGTGGTATTGTGTTCCCCAAAATATTGTGTACCTTAATAAACTTATCTGGGGTCAGAGAACAGAAAAGCCACTAGGTAGGCAGTGATGGCACACACCTTTAATCCTGGCATTCCAGAGATAGAAATCCCTCTGGATCTCTGTGATTTCAAGGCCACATTGGAAACAGCCAAGCATGGTGACACGCCTTTAATCCCAGAA